CACTAAACCCAAGACACCAAACTTAAACCCTAAACCCTAAATCCTAAACCAAAACCCTAAACACCAAACTGTAAACCCTAGACACTAAACCTTAAAAATAAACTTTAAACCCAAAACCCTAAGCCCTAGCCCTAAACCTTAAACCCTAAACACTAAACCCTAAACCCTAAATCTTACCCCTAAACCTTAAACCCTTACCTTAACCATTCATCCTAAACCCTAAACCATTATCCCTATACCATAAACCCAAAATACTAAATCTTAAACCTTTAAGACTAAACCACAAATCCTAAACCCTAAACATTAAACCCTAAACCCTAGACACTAAACCCTAAACTATAAATTGTAAGCCCTAAACCCCATAACAATAAACCCTAAAGCTTAAACCATTAACCTAACATCCTAAATCCTAAACCCTACACCCTTAACTCTAAACCCTAAACCCACAACCCTAGACCATAAACCCTAACATGTAAACCCTAAACCCTAAACCCAAAACGCTAAACTCTAAACCCTAAACCCTACACCATAAACCATTAACCCTAAATTCTAAACCATAAATCCTAAACCTTAAACCGTAAATCCTAAACCCTAAACTCTAAACCATAAAGCCTAAACCCTAAACCCTAAATCCTAAACCCTAAACCCTAACCCTAAACCCTAAACCCTAAACCTTAAAGCCTAAACCATAAACCCAAAATACTAAACCTTAAACCCTTAGCCCTAAACCTTAAATCCTAAATCCTAAACCCTAAACCCATAAACCCAAAACCCTAGACCCTAAACCCTAAAGTCTTATTCCTAAATATTAAATTGTAGCCCCAAACCATTAATCTTAAACCCTAAACTTAAAATCCTAAACCCTAAAACCTAAACCCTAACCTTAAACCCTAAATCCTAAACCCTTAAACCCAAACCATAAACCAAAAACCCCAACCCTAAACCCTAGACCGTAACCCCTAAATCCTAAACCCTAAACCCAAAACCCTAAAGCCTAAACCTAAACCTAAACCCTAAATCCTAAATACTAAGCCCCAAATCCTAATTCCAAAACTCTAATCCCAAAACCCTAAACCCTAAATGCTAAACCCTAAACCATAATTCCTAAACTCTAATCCCTAAACCCTAACCATAAAACCAAAACTCTAAGCCCCATAATCTAATCCCTAAACTCTAAACCATCAATCCTAAACCGTAAACCTATACCCTCAACCCTAAACCCTAAACTCAAAATCCTAAACCCTAAAACCTAAACCCCCTAAACCCTAAATCCTAAACCCTTAACCCTAAACCATAAACCCAAAACCCAAAACTTAAACCCTAAATCCTAAACTTAAACCCTAAACCCCATCGCATCCTCATTTGATGAATTTTTTCTCTCTCTAATTTCTCTATCTAAAAATAGCGCTCAAAATTTGGCCCATAACAGCTATATTCACACCTGATGCACGCACTGCCTGAATGGCGCGAGAGCCGCCGGTAGAACTCTCTCGGCCATCGAACGAAGACCAACTGGACCGCCATGGCAAGAGCAACAAAACCCATCTAGCCACGCCCCATAATTCATCCTACAACTCCTCAAATTTGCAAAATACTGAAGCGATCAACACTGCGATTTCATAGAGAGAGCTGGACGGAATTCGTAAAATCAATTCGCTAGAGGTTCATGTTTCGATTCATGGAAAATTGATTGTTGTTATGAAATCACCTAATCACGATGTATATTCGACCAAAAACCCAACTGATTCTATCGTCCCAATCGAGAGATCTCGCAAGGCGAATTTGGAGAGCAACACAAATAAATCGCCAGAAGTGCGCACTCAAATTCGACGATCTTCGAGTCAACCTAAATCCTAAACCCTACACCCTAAATCCGAAACCCCAGACCCAAAACCTAAACCCTAAATCCTAAACCAAATCCCTAAACACCAAACTATAAACCCTAGACACTAAACCATAAATTCAAACTTTAAACCCTAAGCCCTAGCCCTAAACCTTAAAACCTAAACCCTAAACCCTAAACCTAATCCCTAAACCTTAAACCATTACCCTAAACCATTCATCCTATACCCTAAACCCTAAACCATAATCCCTATACCATAAACCTAAAATACTAAACATTAAACCCTTAACACTAAACCATTAATCCTAAACCCATAAACACTAAACCCTAGACCCTAGACACTAAACCCTAAACTCTAAACCCTAAGCCCTAAACCCCATAACCATAAACCTTCAACCTTAAACCATTAACCCTACATCCTAAACCCTAAATCGTACACCCTTAACTCTAAATCCTAAACCCGAAACCCTAGACCCGAAACCCTAAAATGTAAATCCTAAACCCTAAACCCAAAACACTAAATTCTAAACCCTAAACCATAAACTATAAACCCTATACCCTAAATTCTAAACCATAAATCCTAACCCTAAAAACTAACCCTAAACACTAAACCAATAACCCTAAACCCTAAACCCTATACCCTAAATGTTAAACCCTAAATCCTAATCCTTAAAACCTAACCCTAAACCCTAAACCCTAAACCCAAATCTCTATACCATAATTCCCAAATACTAAACCTTAAACCCTTAACCCTAAATCCTAAATCCTAAATCCTAAACCCTAAACACTAAATCCTAAACCCATAAACCCTAAACCAAGACCCTAAACCCTAAACTCTAAACCCTAAGCCCTAAACCACATCGCTTCCCCATTTCTCAATTTTTCTCTCTCTCTAATTTCTCTCTCTTTGCGAGACTCTCTCAAAAATCTACACAGCTATTACAGCTCCAACGGCTAGCTGACTTGCTAGAATGGCGCGTGAGCCACCGATGAGCACTTGCAAGCCGCCGGATGAAAGCCATTAGAGGAGCCCTAAGAAAATGAATAAAACCCACCAAGAATCATTCTCTAATTCATCCTATGGCTCTACGAATTTGCGAAATATTGAGGCGATACATATCGCTATTTTATAAAGGGAGTTGGACGGGATTCACCAAATTATTTCCCTAGATCGCGATTGGTTGATTCAGAGAAAACTGTTTAAAATGAATGATTCTACTAATCAAGAGCTACAAATGAGATGAATCCATCGTGCCATTTGAGAGAACTGATGAGGCGATTTCCAGGAATTTTACCGAAAAATCGTCAGACCTTAGTCTTCAAATTCGTCCATCTTCCCACCAATTTCATGGCGATTTGACAACTTGGGTTTGCTCACCTGGTGAAGGGGTACCTCTCAATGCAATCTCAAGTAAAATAGAGGGTCCAATCGTCAGCGACAAGAATTTCGATGAGCAAGCAGCCAGAAAATCGAAAAGTGACGGCGACGCTACTAGGGGCAATTATTCTATGGATAAGGAGGTCCACCTTACCAATATCTCCACCAATTTAGGTCAACAACACAACCAAGAGGAAATTCATGCAAGTCTGATTGCTTCTACAGCCAAGTAACAAATTGAGGTTGAAGAACTTAACTGCAGAAATGAAGCAGAACACCAGGGGACATAGTCACAGGATCATGCTGGCCCAAATGGTCAAAGACAGGACCATCTCTCAACGGTAAAACAAAAAATGAAGATTAAATCAAAGCATAGAGATGATCAACACGATAAGGCAGGGGATACAACCTTGGAGGTGATTGAAGTGGAGAGCTCATCCCACTTCTCATTTGGAGTGAAACCAGCGGATACATTAACAAGTAATGATGGACAACAAACACCAGGTAAAACCATTAATTATGCCAATGAAATTCACTATGATCAAATGCAGGAACATCAGGCAGGAGCTACCAATGCATAAAGCAAAAAATTGAGTGAGGATGATACTCAAGCAGGTAAGTATTCTCATGCTAACTCCGGTAGAGATGATGTTAATCTGAGTAGTAGTGAGACTCATTCGAATGATAATGAAAAGGGGAAAAAGACCATTAAGTTGAATGATCAGGAACTGCTCAGGGGGGACATTGAATCCAAACAATATGGGGATCAAAATCAGAATAGGGGGAGAACTAACAGCCAATCTCAACTACCTGCTCATGGAGAGAATTCTGAACCTAATAACTATCACAAGGACTTCCCTAAAATCTCCAGCAACTTTGATAGACACAATATCCCCAATCAGAAAGATCAACAAACCAATCAGCCAAATCAATCCAAAGGACCAAACAATCCAAATGACAACCAAAAAACCAAACAGGACCAGCATTCTGAACCTGCTCCCTATACAGTGGTACAAACTTTGGCTGCTAGACTTAGACAAATTCATGCTACACATGCTGCCACTATAGAATCGGTCCCTCCCAGACACACTACTAAACAGGGCCAGCCTGCTGTTATTTATGACATGGATGACTTCATGAATAAATTGACTGTGGACTATAAATACACCATTATAGGCAAATTCAGTACTACCATGCCGAAAATAGAACTCATAAGAAAAAGCTTCATCTTACAAACTCAGCTGAATGGGGGGGTCAATATTGCACACTATAATGCTAGACATATGTTTATTGATTTGGACAATGAATTGGACTATAACACTGTATGGACACAACAAAGAATGACTATCGAGGGTAAACTTATGAGAATACAAGCTTGGACTCCCAACTTTAGACCTGAAGAAGAAACACCTATTGTTCCAATATGGGTACTACTGCCAGGCCTACCGTGGCACTGCTTCAAGAAAGAATTCATCACACCTCTACTAGTCTATGGGCAAAGTTTTATACTTAGATACAACCTCTATTAAGAGAACTAGAGCTAGTATGGCCAAGGTAAAGGTCCAAGTGGACCTCACAAAGGATCGACCTAGACATGTGCAGATTGGTTTGGATGATAAAGATCTCACTATAGGGAGATGGCAACCAATTGAGTATGAAAATATTCCCCCTTATTGTACATACTGCAAACACCAAGGCCACATGATAGGTGATTGTAACTTCAAGATAAGGGATGAATACTTCAAACGAAAGAAAGAGCTAGGAACATAAATGAAAAATATGAATAAAGGTGAACAAGGACAACAGGGAGGGGAGCGCAAGCAAGCCAAGACAAGGGAACAAGAGGACCAACAACAACAAAGAACCAAGGCTGGGAGCAGTGAACAACAACGTGAACAACAAAAGGAGGAGGAATGGCAAGTGACAAGAAGAAGAAACAATAAATCATAGGAAGAAAAAACACAGAAGACAGTGTGGAGACCAACCTCACCACAAAACAAAGTGTCAAAGGAGGAACCACAAAGCACAGCTCAGCAAACAGGTACAGTTAAAACTGCAAATCATAATTCTTTTACTAACCTTAACATGTAGGAAAAACAAATGGAGGATAGTCGAGAGCACAACAGTAATGAAGGGAAAACATCACAAACAGCACAGAACAGGTCCAATGAAGACCAACACCAAAAATCACAGGACAAGCAAACATGAAACAACGGGAAAAACAAGAGCACATGTATTGACTCAATGGTCCCAAACCCCACAAATCCCCATACTAAATATCTTGATGATGCTGGTGAAGTTGAAGGAGGGATGGAAGGGGGATGTCAGGAGAAACAAACTAACATGCAGGAAGGGGTGTCCAAAGGGGGGAATTTGTCTCATGCTATGCATGAGGGGACTCATACTGACCACAATTCAGACTTTAGAACCCTTGCTACCACTAGATAACAACAAAGTCCTAATTAACAACAGGTACAACATCAAGATCAATCAGAGGAAGAAAGACAAAATACCAGCAAAAATAGCAAAAACAAAAACCAAGTGGAGGAGAAAATTGCTGGTAACCAAAACAAAGGGGCTATGGCAAAGGATATGGGAGCAAAAGCAATTACTAGCAACCAAGAAAAGACACCCAAAAGCAAGAACAAACCTAGCAAAACAAAAGAGAAGCTGCAAAAAAGAGACAGAATCAGTAGCATGATAACAATAAGCAGGGGGAACAACAAACTAGTGGAGAAACTTGCAAGAAATTCATAATGGTAGATGAACAACTTGGCATGGATATCACTCAACTGCAGGCCCAATATATGAACATTCCTATAAATGTGCCACCGAATAAAAGAAATGAAAAATGTCAAACTAATAAAGGTCCTGAAATTGATGAATATGCTGTGGACAATTCTGAAGATGATCTGGATGGGGACAATCACTCTCTCAAGGACCCTGATGAGGAGGATGAGACTAGTGAGCTATTAATTAGAGCTTGTAGTCCTTATCCTAATAAAGGCTTGGAAGAAGAGATTCAAAAAGTGGCAGAGATGCAGGGACTATCTCCCAGAGGACTACACCATGACAGGTTCCACTTCAAAAATCAAGACATCAACACTGTCACTGCTGGCAGACCAATACTAGACTCTTTTCTTCGAGATCATCTCAATAATTAGTACAATCATTTGGAAGGTTAGGGGGATCAATACCCAAGGTGTTCTAGAAAGAATCAAAATGCTCAAGAGGATGCACCAACTTTCTATCATTGCTATTTTAGAACCTTTCTCTGATACTAAACAAATCCAAAGTTTTAAAAACCAATTAGCCATGGAGCATGCTGTAAGTAATCGAAATGGCCAAATTTGGTTTTTTTGGAATAAGGACATTGATTCTGTAGTAATTGAGGAGGATGAACAACAAATCACTTCTGATATTAGTCATAATGAAATTCAGACTCACTTCACCACAACCTTTGTGTATGCCAAGTGTAAGGATCAACTCAGAAGACCTTTATGGGATAGAATGTTGTTCCATGCTGCTGAAAGCAGCAAACCGTGGTGCTTAGTAGGTGACTATAATGTCATTACTTCGATGGAGGAAAAGCTTGGAGGGATACCTTATAACATGAGGAAAAGTCTAGACTTCATTGCAGTGATTGAAACGTGTGGGCTCATTGATCTAGGCTTCAATGGACAAAGGTTTACTTGGTCCAATAAAAGGGGAACACATCACAGAATCTGGAAACGACTGGACAGGGCAATGGTTAATGACAAATGGCTGGAAACAATGCGTTAAACTACTATCACTCATTTACCATCTGTAGGATCAGACCACTGTCCCTTGCTGATGGAAATGAGTGTTAGAGAAGAACACCAAATCAGGTATTTTAAATTTCTCAATTGTTGGACTGATCAACCCAATTTATTTGATGTTGTTAAAGCCTGCTGGGACATAATTGTAGAAGGTAACATCATGTGGCAATTTCATCAGAAACTGAAAAGATTGTCCGCTCCTGGTCCAAAAGGGAATTTGGTGACGTCTTTGTTAAAGTTAAGGAGTATGAAGAGAAGGTCAGGAAGGCTGAAGAAAATCTTATTCAAGACCATACTGAAAAAAACAGGACAACACTTCATGAGCTTAATGCAAAATACATCAGATTTTTGAAAATGGAAGACTCCATTTTGAAACAAAAAACTCAATTACAATGGTTCAAAGAAGGAGATGCTAACACAAAGTATTTTCATTCACTGATAAGAGGAAAGAGAAGAAGATTGTTTATACACAAACTTATCAGTGAAGGAGGGGAGTGGATACAAGGAGATGACAACATTGCTGAAGCTGCCTGTGGACACTTCCAAACGATTTTCATAGGGGAGGACAAGGTTATCAATGAGAATGTTCTAAATTGCATCCCCAGGATGGTCAATTAGGAACAAAATAATAATCTGATTACTATGCCTACTTTGGAAGAGTTGAAAGAGGTGGTTTTCTCTATGAATCCTAATTCTGCAGCTGGTCCTGATGGGATGAATGGTTACTTCTTACAGAAATGTTGGCATATTATCAAGAAGGATTTATTTGGTGTTATTCAAGCATTCTTTTGTGGTCAAATGATTCCGAAATATTTCTCTCACTCTTGCATTGTTCTACTCCCTAAAGTGAGCAATCCTAACAAACTCACTGAGTTCAGGCCCATCAGTTTAAGTAACTTCACTAGCAAGATTATATCTAAATTGGTGAGCTCTAGACTTGGCCTTATCTTACCTAACTTGGTTTCACTGAACCAGTCTGGATTTGTCAAAGGGAGGAGTATATCAGAAAACATTATGCTTGCCCAAGAGATTATTCACCAGATTAAGAAGCCTAATATCGGGAGCAATGTTATCATTAAATTGGACATGGCTAAACCGTACGATAGATTTTCTTGGTCCTATATATGTTTGGTATTAAGAAGAATGGGGTTTGACGAGGTATTTATTGACAAGATTTAGAGGATCATGGCCAACAATTGGTATTCTATTATTGTCAATGGCAAAAGACATGCATTCCACGAGAGGTCTTAAACAAGGGGATCCTATTTCTCTTGCCCTATTTATTTTAGGTGCAGAGGTCCTTTCGAGATCCCTTAACAGGCTGCACAACAACCCTAACTATTATGGTTTTTTCATGGAGACCAGAGGGGCTCAAGTAAACCACTTAAGTTTTGCCGATGATATCATCCTCTTCATTTCTGGGAGATAGAACACTTTTAAGCTCATTATGCAAACTCTGAATTCCTATGAGGAGACCTCCGGACAGCTCATTAATACGGATAAAAGCCACTTTATGGTCTATTCAAATGCATTCAACAGCACAAGAGAAAGGATTAAAAGAATCACAGGCTTCAAACAAAAAGAGGGTCCTATCACTTACCTTGGTTGCCCCCTATTTGTTGGTAGACCTAGGATTGTTTATTTTTCTGATCTTATTAACAAAGTTTCATGCAGAATTACAGGTTGGCAAACTAAGCTATTGAGCTATGGTGGTAGAGCAATCTTGGTCAAGCATGTTATTCAATCCTTACCTATTCACCTTCTTTCAGCAGTAACTCCACCTACTACTGTCCTCAAGCAAGTTCAAAGTATAATGGCAGATTATTTCTGGGGATGGAGGAATGAGAGGAAAAAATATCATTGGGCATCATGGAAGAATCTTATGTTTCCTTATGACGAGGGAGGAGTTGTTATGAGGAATCTGAAAGATGTTTGCAAGTCTTTCAAATATAAACAGAGGTGTATTTTTAGATCAAAACAAACACTTTGGGGAGAATTTGTAAGGGCTAAATATTGTCAAAGATCAAATCCGATTAGTAAAAAATGGGATACGGATGATTCTCTGACCTGGAAACATCTGATGCATAACAAAAATAAAGTAGAAGAACACATTCATTGGAAACTCAATTCGGGCAGCTGTTCCTTTTGGTGGGATAATTGGCTTGGCATTGGACCTCTAGCGCAATTCTCTGCTGACAGTAACAGATTTAAAATGTCGGAATCACCACAGACCACAACTCTTTACAACAACTAATCATGCAATGGTGGTCAGCTAAACACAATAATGAGAAACATAGGCTGTTACTACAAGCTACGCCAATATTCATTTGTTGGAACATATGGAAGAATAGATGTGCTAGTAAATACGGAGGAAAACAATCCAATGCTAGAAGGGTCAAATATGCCGTATACAAGGACAATTACAAGCTCATGACCACAACCTTTCCTCACATCAAATGTCCTTCGAATTGGAGGGACCTGATCCAACTAGGGGGAAAATGTGTGCATGATATCAAAGTGACCCTTGTTAAGTGGACAAAACCTCAGACTCAATGGGTAAAAATCAACACAAATGGCAGTGCACTAAGTAATCCTGGCAGAACTGCAGCAGGAGGTATCATACGCGATCACAATGGAGAAATGTTACTCGCATTTGCCACACCATTGGGGGAAGGCACTAACAACCAGGCTGAATTAGAAACAGCAATTTTCGGGATGACCTGGTCCTTAGAATTAGGCCACAAGAATGTCCTTTTGGAGGTAGATTCACAGCTTCTGATGGACTGGATAATGCATAAAGTCAACCCTCATTGGAGCATCAACACACAACTAGAGAAATTGCAGGCAGTCATCAATCAAACACACGAGTTTAAATGCAAACACACTTTCAGAGAAGCAAACTGTGTAGCGGATTCCCTTTCAAAACACAGCCACAAGATCACTAGCCCCTAACTTTATTTCAATAATCATCAATTACCAAAAGAATCAAGAGTTTACTACCAACTAGACTTGCTAGAAATGGCAAATTTCAGGCGAAGGAAAATTAACAGGATTAAGGAACCACCTTGAATATACTTCAACCTTTTCAACCTAGCTATAGCTTAAAATTATAGCTCTTTTGAATAGGTTTTTTGTTGAATTTGTAAAGGGAGAGTCTCCCTTGTTTATGCTTCCTAGATTCTATGTATTGAGAGGACTCCTCTCCTTTAGGTATTTAGTAGCCTGGTTACTTTATTTGTATGATATGAGTTGACTATCCCTTGAGGAAGATCGAGTACAGAACCACCATAGGTTTGGAGGTTAGGTTTATGTCCCCCTCCTTGTACTTTTGCTTTTATTTATGATAAGGCCTGGGGGTGTTGCTCAGCCCCTACCCCTCCAAGGGTAGTTAAACTGGAAAAAAAAAAGCCCTTAACCCCATAACCATAAACACTAAAACTTAAACCATAAACCCTATATCCTAAACCCTAAACCCTACACCCTTAACTCTAAATCTGAAACCCAAAATTATAGACCCTAAACCCTAAACCCTTAACCCTATAGCCTAAACCTAAGCCCTAAACAATTAAACTTAAACCCTAAACCTAAAACGTAAACCCTAAACTGTAAATCCTAAACTCAAAACTCTAAACCCTGAACCCTAAACCCTAACCATAAACCTTAAATCCTAAACCCTAAAACCTAAACCATAACCCAAAACCCAAAACCATAAACCGTAAACCCTAAACCCTAACCCTAACCCTATACCCTAAACTCTAAACTCTAAACTCTAAACCCTAAACCATAAATCCTAAACTCAAAACCCTAAACACTAACCATAAACCATAAACTATAAACACTAAACCCTAAAACCCTAAACCCTAAACCCTAAACCCTAATCCCTAAACCTAAACCCTAAACCCCAAATTTCCTAAATAGTAAACCCTAAGCCTATCCCTAAACCCTAAAACCCTAAACCCTAAATGTAAACCCTAAGCACTAAATCCTAACCCTAAACCATTAATCCTAAAGCCTAAACCCTAAAACCTAAACCCTATACCCCAAACACTAAACCATAAACCCAAAACCCTAAACCCAAAACCTATCCCTAAACCCTAAATCCTAAACCCTAAATCCTAAACCCTAAACCCAAATCCTGAACCTAAACCCTAACCCTAAATCATTAATCCTAAAGCCTAAAGCCTAAACCCTAATTTCGTAAACACTAAGCTCTAAGCCAATCCCTCAGCCCTACACATTAAACCTTAATCATAAACAGTAACCTCTCAACTCTAACCCTAAACCTTAAACACTAAATTGTAAACCCTAAACCCTAAACCTTAAACCTTACACCCTAAACCCTAAATCCTCAACTCTAAAACCTAAACCCTAAATCCTAAATGCTAAACCCTAAACCCTGATTCCTAAACTCTAATCCCTAAATCCTAACCCAAAACACAAAACCCTAAACCTTAAACCCTAAAATCTAATCCCTAAACCTTAAACCATTAATCCTAAACCCTAAACGCTAAACTCAAAATCCTAAACCCTAAAACCGAAATCCTAACCTTCAACCCTATATCCTAAACCCTTAACACTTAACCATAAACCCTAAACCCTAACCCTAAACCCTAACCCAAAACCCTAACCCTAAACCCTAAACCCTAACCCTAAACCCTAAATCCTAAGTGCTAAACCCTAAACCCTAATTCAAATACTCGAATCCCTAAACCCTAAGCCTAAACCCTAAACCATAATTCCTAAACTCAAATCCTTAAACGCAAACCCCAAACCCGAAACCCTAAACCCCAAAATCTAATCCTAAACCATAAACCATAAACCCTAAACCCTAAAACCTAAACTCTAAAGCCTAAACACTAAACCCTAAACCCTAAGTCCTAAGCCCTAAACTCCAAATCCTAAACCATAAACCCTAAACCCTAAACCCTAAATCCTAAATTTTAAACCCTAAACCTATACCGCAAACACAAAACCCTAAATACTAAACTAAAAACCCTATACCCTAAATCCTAAACTCAAATCCCTAAACTATAAACCCTAAATTGTAAACTATAAACCCTAAACCCTCAACCCTAAACCCTAAACCCTAAATCATAAATCCTAAACCATAAACACTAAACCATAAACCCAAAATCCTAAACCCTAAAACATAACCTTAAACCCTAAATCCTAAATCCTAAACCGTAAACCCTAAACCCTAAACCTTAAATCATAAACCCTAAACCCTAATAACTAATCCCTAAATACTAAACCATAGCCCTAAACCATTACTCCTAAACCCTAAACCTTAAACCCTGCACCATAAACCCTAACCCTAAATATTAAATCCTAAACCCTATATTTTAAACTCTAAACCCTAAACCCTAAACCCTAAACCCTAAACACTAAACCATAAACCTTAAATCGTAACCCTAAATCTAAAACCCAAATCCTAAACCGTAACGCTAAATCCTAAACACTAAATCCTAAACCCGAAACACTAAACCCTAAATCGTAAATCCTAAAACCTAAATCCTAAACTCTAATACCAAAACCCAAAACACAAAACCCTAAGCCTTAAACAATAACCCTAAACCTTAAATTGTATATCCTAAACCCTAAATCCAAAAATGCTAAAC